GACTTACTGAATAGAAGAAGAAGAGAATATCGTAAGAATCTACCCTCTGGAGACGTACTGTACGTCTCCAGAGGATAGATTCTTCCTCTGCGGAAGAACCAGACGCGCGCTGGTTTCTGTCAGGGGCCGTATGCGGATCCTGATGCAACAGGTGAGTCAGAGTATTTACTCAGATGCAAAAATCAGATGGTGAGTATTAACCCATGATTCGCTGATTTTTTACTTTGGAGCGAGAAATCAGGCTCATCGCGATCATATGTGAATCTCCGAGCTGATTCGCGAATCTGAAGTTGATTTTTCGGCTGATTAATACTCTTACTCAATATGCGTTGCTCATGAAGCTGATTTTTCGGGGGATTCCATTAAATCTGAGTATTTCCGAGAATCAGGGAATCAGAGTTTGGGTCAGACATTTTTGACAAGACGAAGATTATAATCGCTACGCCCAACAAGTTGTGGGCCACAACCGAGAATGACAATTTCAAGAAAGGAGGAAACGTCACTTCACGAGGGTAGAACCTGGTAAATTCTTCACGAACGCATGAACATTTCCCGTTCTGCTATAGCAACGATATAAATTTGAAAGAAGATCTTTTGTCGCCCGTGTACACATCCGTACTTCAAACTTTTCAATATGTTCACTCGAAATCAACTAACTCTGGGTTTCTCACTCAGAAATTTCAAGTGGAAGTCCAAGTCCAACAACTCTCATAGAGCTTCCTTTGAGAACCAGTAGCGTGATCGGGGTCGTTATCCGACAATCCCTCAAGAGAATCGACGAAGGGCATTTATTGTTTTTATGAATAATTAATTGAATTAAGGAATGCGTAACTCACACCGTGTGGTTGCATGTTGCATGTACTACGTGCGCTAAACCTCCATCCACCGTTTTGTATCGTATGATTTCATAGCTGAACTGGTTAAGGGTGAGCTCCCACGTGCTCGAAACAGGGGTTCTATTCCCGGGCAGGGTCATTCTAAGAACCTGCTCACAAGCAGCAGAGGAGGTTTACCGTGGCGCTCGCTGAAGTCGACGACTTCAAGTCGTGAAATCAGGTCGAGAATCAGAATCAGGGTTTGGTACCAAGACAAGATAACGTGGAAAAATGGAGATACTCACGGCGTGAGTATGATTCGGAATCACATGCTGAGTAAAAATCTGATTCTGAATCTGTGGCGTCCTCGAGTTGAGTAAAATACTCACGAGTATGAGTTTTGAATCACAATAACGTTGAAAAAATCTAGAATCATGATCCTTACTCACTGGGTTGAGTAAATACTCTGACTCATTGATTCACAATGAGAATCAGTGGCTGAGTATGGTTCTGAATCAGGAATCATGATTCTGAATCAAGAATCGAAATCAACGCTTGAGAAAAATCAGGAATCAGGAATCGTACTCGCGAATCCTGAATCTGAATCTGGAATCAGTCATCAATGATGACTCATCATACTCACGAATCATGAATCTTACTCACGAATACAGAATCTGAATCAACACTTGTGAATCATGGTGCGAGTTGAATCAAAATCGGAAATCAGGTAGTGAGTTGAATCAGTGCCTGTGATTCTCGAATCAGTATCCGCATACCGCCCCAGCTCTACTTGAATAATCTTGCCCGTGAGAAGCTCGTAAAGGACCCGTAATAGAAAGAAATGTGCTACTTTCATTGCCAAAGCTTCATCAATCCATGCCTTATCGATAGCGGCGTTCACCAGAGAGCGGAGGAGGGTGAAATCGATCCTCGTCCTCGGTCTCGTATTCGTCGATCTCACGGCGGAGAGCCCTTTAATACATTGCTTGACTGCAACTGTGTCCCAGGCGAAAACTAACCAACTATGCCATTTGCAGAGATGAGATAGGTACGTATTCGCAGTCCCAGCGTTGCTAAATTTCAAGAGTCACATAGAGACTCTCTAGAGACCCCTAAACGTAGGTAGGTCCTGAATGCTGATGCGTACTGGGCTAGGGATCTGTCACTGATTGATCTGAGTCTGAGGTTGTTCGCGTTGCCCTTGAGTCCTTCCACGACTGAGCTCGGGCCGACCGAGTTGGCTCTCTCGAATCGAGAGTCCCGATTAGGCGCCTGGGAACTTGGCTAGGTTTCAGATTTGCCAGGCTCGAAGGCGTGCCTGCAGAGGCTTCTCTGTTGGCTTGTATCGAAACCCCGATAATGGTTTCCCAAATTTTGCCTCTGAACTGAGCACGCTCACAACAAAAATAGCGCTTAATCTAAGAATACTCTCAGACCATGGTCGAGAACTTCTGGAAGTAACGAGCGATCGAACCCTATTCGGGCTTGTTCCCATGTCAAGAAGCCTGCTTTGATCAACGAAAGACAAGCCGATATGAGCAACACATGCCTGTTTTTGCAACATTTGAATAATTTCGGAGGCTTCAAGTTGAAGGATATGCCGATTTTTCACACACAAGGTTCCACATTGCGCACAAGTTTCCAGTTGTCACACATTTTCCAAACATTTTCGGCGCACAAGTTGTGCGGCAGAACGATTCCGGCGAACATAGATGGAACCTCCACCGGCTCCGCTGGCTCCCCACTGGAGAGTTCTCAGTTGTTTCTCTTCCGTACGAAATAATTTTCCATCCGTAGCCAGGTTAACGAAACTCAGACCTCCATTTCAATTTGAAATGGAGGTCTGAGTTTCGTTGAAAACTTCAACTTGAAATTGAGTTTGAAATATTCGAAGGTTTGAGAAACCCATTCACATCACTCATAAAGTAAATTATAAAATTATGAGCTGTTATAAAGTTGCATCAACACCGGGAGGCAGCTCGTCTACACCATTATACTTCAATGGCGTAATATCCGTCTTATTCTTTCTCAACGATGGGCCCGAATACTGGGGTCGTCCGTTCTTTCGTAGTGTGGCTGTGTGGCGATGGCGTCCGCGTTCTCAGTGTTGAGCTCATGTGATGGTGCGTGGAAGGTTGCGTCGTGATCTAATAGCAAAGCTGCTTTGCAGTTAGTGAGTGATGTTAAAGTTGAAGCCTTTGAGTCCTTGGTAAATCTGAAGCGGTGAGCATCAGGTAGCTGATGCTGTTGACTTTGACAAGTTGTCAGTGACAACACAATCTCGGAGGTAGATGCAGGTATCAGATAGTGCTCCGGCTACGGCCGGCAAGGTTGGCAGAAGTGACATCAATAATTCTCAAGAGAATCCATGTGAAACTCTGAATGTGATCGATGGTTTAGCACGAGTACCCGTGACTCAGCCGGCGCG